TGGGGGGTTGGGGGGGGGTGGGGGGGGGGGGGGGGGGGGGGGGGGCGTTGTTAGAGCCCGAGTTCCTCCCATCAAATTTGTTTACTCTAGGAGGAGCAAGAGGGGAATACCTAATTCTCAAGGGGAGACGGTGTAAGTGGGGATAGTTGGCCAACCTGGCATTTCTATTGGGATTCGAGTTAAGGCCATGCCTTCTGTTACGAATTGGTTATGCATGGAGAATACCGTTGGGAAAAACTAGCTATATAGGAGAGCTCGTAGGGTAGAAGGGGGGATATGGTATTATATGCTGAGATTGAGTCTGGGAGGCAGAGGAACCTCGAATTCCTCCAATATGTATTTTCTTACTTGTTATTTTCCAATTTTGCTCTTATTCAGCAAAGAAAACTACCCAGAAGTTCTTGGGGTTAACGTTACCAGAAATCCATTGATCGCGAAAGAATTGACAATTTTATGACAAACTGAATTGCATTTCTTAAAGGAACATTCTGGACTACTCGTGCACAAATATTGAAATAGAGACAGGCGTGCAAAGCAGACTGTTTAACTTATAAATAAACTCCAAAGGGAAAACCATTCACAAAGAGAAATAAATCCAAGTAATTGGCAGTAGAAGTCACACTTACAAGTTGACTGTTTTCACGAACAAATATATCCTCCATATGACAAAAGAGAGATTTCCAGTGACCCGTGAGATCCGACTCGAGATTCGATGAATTAATAGGATCTCCTTGATTGTGAGTATCAGTCTCCTTTTCCCTGCAACTTTTCTGAGCCAAGGTATGTGCTTCTTTTTTACTCTTCTTCAATGCTAGGAAATAAAGTAAAAATTGTAACGTAACGGGAAACAAAATAGTTCATAAGTTTAAAGGCCGATTAAAGTATTATTAACATACCAGCTATCCGACCCTTTATATCCTGGTATTGGAGATCCGACCATATGTGAGCAGCTGAATTACAAAAATTGGGAAACAAACATGCTCAGGTAAAAGAAATGCACAACTAAGTAAACAAATGACTAACAAACTAGGTGTCAAGGTTACCTTTCAAGCAAAACGAACAAGAACAAGCGTTGATAAAGTCATCACCGACACTCGCATTACTACAACCATCACCCTGAAGAGTTGCACATCTCCCCAATTCGTGTGATATAGGACCCTGCTTCGGAAACTTCGACCACTCAAAAGAACCGCACTCCGTTGACACCGGTTTACCAACACTAAGACCCTCATTATCCTTGAATACAGTGACAATTGGTCCTTGCAAAAGATTGCTTTGAGTAGCATCAGAAGCACGTCTGCCTTCACTGTCCAAAACAACACAATCTTTGTTCTGCATTTCTTTGCTCGCGGCCATCGAAACACTCGAAAAAGAACTGTCTCTCGAGACATCACCAACTTCCACAACACTTTTATGAATACCCCCGTCTAAAACTTCAGGCTTCTTGAATTCTCGGCGCATATTCGAGACTAAAGACTCGGTATTCTCCTGTGAGGCATCAGTTTCCGTATAAGTCGACGAGGATCCACAAGGCTGCTTATCCTTCGTCAAAGTCAATCCTTGTTCTCGCAGAAACTTCTCGACTCCTAAACGAACCTGCTTCGCGAATTGCGAGTCGGCATTGTCCCCTCCCACATTCTTGACATAGCCATCTCCGGATTTAACACCAGGATCACCCAAAAGCGCAGAAAACCCCCTCTTAATCGGGCGATTGGTCAAATCGCCGAGTGCAGGACGGGTTCTATGCAACCCCCTATCTGCTAAGCTATCTTCACTCATCGCAAAAACTCAGCGACAGAAAAATAAACACAGATCGAATTACACCAATCCAATAATCAACTAGCGAAACCTAAAAGAATCATAGACAAATTTTAACATTTATCAGAAATCGAAACTCATTTCACAGGAAAAAGGCAACAAAAAACATTTGAAAAACATGAAATCAGAAGCGCATTTCAACAAATTGTTGCGATAAGCTAGCTAAACAAACGCCACGAGAGGAAGAAACCCTAGAAACTGATTCCGAAAGGAACAAGGAAAGACAGAGATACTGACCTGGGAAGAGAAGATGGAAGAGTGGAGAAGAAGCGGATTTTGAAGATGTAGATGAAGATGAAGAAAATTTGAAGTTCTGGAGTTTGGGAGGGAAAAGGGCGCGAGAAAAGCGCTCTCGAAGAAAGAAAGCCCCAAAACAAAAAATGGAAGAGAGAGAGAGAGAGAGAGGAGAATCTAAATCCAAATATGTTCGAACGCTGTCCCTGTCCCGCCTTTCATCTTCCCCCTTTAAAGTGCGATTGAATTTTGGGAAAATTTTATTTTTTCTTTTTTGTTAAAAATTGAATTTTGGAATTAATAACAAATGCCCATGCCTGGTTTTTTGTTTTTAAGAAAAAAAATGTCATGGATTATTTTTGTCTTTTCGGGAAGAATGGAATGGATTATGAAACCACTGAAAATAAAATAGTTGGATCATGATTCATGGATGCCCATATTTTAGTTTATTTTAAAAAATAGTCGATTTTGTCCAAAAGTAATAATAATAAAAAAGGCCAAAGATTTCTTTTTTGAGAAAAAATGGCATCGATTTTGAAACTAATGAAAACAAATAGGTGGATCAGGCATGTGCTTAGATTTAGACCTCATTCATTTTATAAATTTAAATTTTTAATTCTAATTTTATTATAGTTAAAAATTCTCATAAAAAGTCTTTTTTTTATTACAGTGAAAAACTCCCATATAAAATCACATCTTAAATCGAATTGAAAACTCAAATCCGCAAACTGAATGAAACCTTAAATTTATTTAAAAAATAAACAATTTTGTCGAATAAATAATCCCCTAAATTAGCCATAACGGTGCCAATAGAGATGTGAATTTGACGGTCTACATGACACTACATTGGGATAAAAGGGAAGAGATAAAAAAGAGAAGGTAGAGGAAGATGGCAACGACTACTTAAGCCAGATGTGTGACCTTCGGGACGAGAGGAAGGGAGAGAAAGAAAATGAGGATGTTGGTTTAAAAATGAATGAATAAATCTTGAACAACGGAAAAGGAAGGATTAAATAGTCTACTACTACATACATATGAAATTATAAAGGGTAAAATTAGAGAAAAGTTTAAGACTTGTTCTTTTAGAGTTTAATTTGAGTATAATTTTTGAGTTATTCTTAAGTTATAACTTGAATTAAATTTGTAACTTGAGTTTGTGTTTGGTTGTGTACATTTGAGTTATGGTTTGAGATAATAATCTTTTTGAGTTTGTGTTTGAGTGAGTCAAAACTTGAATTTGTATTTAGATAGTATTTTAATAAAAACTCAATGCTGATGAAAAATTTTAATATGGTATATGGGTCGGATTTTATTCGTCTTTTCGTTGTCAACGCATAGAAAAAAAAATCATCTCAATCAGAATTAAAACGAAAAAGTTATAGCATTTTTAAGAATAGAAAAAATATTGTTCATTAATTTGAGTTCGAGTTTATGAACTCGAGTTGAAGGAGAAACTTAAACTCGAGTTTTAATCATAAACTCGAGTTTAAACTTAAAAGAACATGAACTCGAATAAAATTATAACTCGAGTTATATTTTTTTGAGTTTTTCACTCAAAAGAACAAGTCCTTGGTGGTATAAATCTTAAGATGAGAGTTAAGAGGAGTACTTTAAACTCATTATAGGCCACTACTCATCCTAAATATTTCTTTTATTTATAACTATTCAATTTTTTCTCAACTAAATTTAAAAAAAAAAAAAAAAAAAAAAAAACAAGTTTATTGAGCTTTCCAGTAACAACAATATGGAACATATCTTAGTACAGTATGAAATTAATGTTGTAAGGGA